TATCTATCTATCTATCTATCTATCTATCTATCTATCTATCTATCTATCTATCTATCTATCTATCTATCTACCTACCTACCTACCTACCTACCTACCTACCTACCTATTTTCCTATCTATCTACCTATTTATCTACTTACTTGCCTACTTATCTACCTACATCTGTCTATCTATCTCTGTCTATCTATCATCTATCTATCTATCATCTATCTCAATCAATCAATCAATCAGTCAAATCCATCTCATAAGTGACCCTGGGCAGCCTTCATTAGTCACGTATTAATTTTGTTGTCAGCTCCTATTTCTTATATCTACAAACTATGAGGCCTGAGAAAGTCTTCTGCCTCTCTCTATGGGAATCTGTTATCTGGCTAGTTTAGGATGTCTAGAAAGATCAACAACTGAATGTGACATAAGACAGCTTTGTATGTAACTTTGATATCTTTCATTGTCATCATCTCATTAGCAAACTGGATGAAGGGATGCATAGTACCAATCCCAGGAACTGTTTTATTGCTAAAATGCTATAAACTCAGAAACCACCATCCTGCCTTCTTTACTATTAATCATTTTTACTCAGTGGGATTCGTCTGAGCTTTTTCTTTTTAATAAAAGGAACAAAATCTGTCTCACACTCCAGACCGAAAACCTTTCAACCTGCTCCAGGTTAATTGCTGCTGTTTGTGCCATACATATTGTTAAGCTTTCATATTTGGCATTTTTACTCAAATAGGCCCATAGAAAAGTCATTTTGTATGGCACAAAGCTGAAGCATTGCAACCTACAAAAGATACCATTTTTAAAAAATGAAACTCTTCCTCCCTTCTCCTTCTACTCTCTCACACATACATGCACAACATTGGAGATATTTTTTTCCTTGCACAAATAAGAAAATAACAGCATTTTCTGCCTTAACCTGTTATGGTTGCTAAGTAACAATAGCACAGTAGCTAGTATTTGCAGCAGTGCTTGGTCTAAGGACCTGACAGTTTGATTAATTCTCCACGGTATCAAACCTGTGCTGTGAATATTTAAAGCAGCTCAGCATTTATGCTGGAAGCTGTTTGCTATTGTCTATGATTTATATAGTGGATTTATAATTAAATGTGTCATCAAGACCTAGAAAACTCACATAATTGAGAATTGGGAGGGGGAACTAAGTTGGCTGCTTTACTAATCTTTATCTGCCTTCCCCTTCGATTTCAAACACGAGAACGTGCATTTTCACAATTGGCTATGTGCTGAATGGAATGGTTATCTGTTGAGGCTGGGGGCAACAGCATCAAGTGGGACAACTAAAGCTTTATTTGTTTTTATGAAAATGGGTATGTAAAGAGCTTCAGTTGCCTATTGTTTGATGTTATTGACTTCCTTGTATCTCTCTCTCTATCTTTAACAATATTCTGTGTCTATTATCACCTTTCCCGTAGATTTGTAGAAATCTATAATTACATTGAACATACAGGTAAACCATAACTTACAACCACAATTGAGCCCAGAATTTAAGTTGCTAAGTGACAAATTTGTTAAGTAAGTTTTGCCCCATTTTACAACTTTTCTCGTTATATTTGTTAAGTGTAGTTGTTAAATTAGTAACATGGTTGTTAAGTGAATCTGGCTTCCCCATTGACTTTGCTTGTCAGAAGGTTGCAAAAGGTGGTAACATGACCCTGGGATACTGCAACCATAATAAATATGAAACAGTTGTCAAGCATCCAAATGTAAATCACATGACCATGGGGCTGCAACAGTTATAAGTGTGAAAAATGGTCATAAGTCACCTTTTTAAGTGTTGCTGTAACTTCGAATGGTCACTAAATGAACTGTTGTAAGTCAAGGACTACCTGTATTTAAAACATAACCAAGAATTCTTTGAAAAACAAAATCTTTAAAACCTCTGACAAAACATTAACATCTTGCTTTTTAAAAAATACATGGTATTGATGTATCATGATAAGAGAGGTCTGCATTGATTGCAGCTATGAAACGATCAACTATGCATCATAGAAAATAAATGTGAAAAATATCTTATGTTGGGCCTTAAAAAAGATTTGGAAATTTTTTTTTCATTCATGAAGCAGTGGAAAGATAATTAATTTGCGATTGGGATTTATAATCATATGGTGCTGGCTCTGAATACGTTTATGAACCCAGTTCATACTTATGACCATTGCTGTGTCCACTTGTCAATTTTTGCAACCTTTTGACAAGCAAAGTCAATGTGGAATCCAGATTCACTTAACAACCAGGTTGCTAACTTATCAACTGAAGTGATTCACTTAACAACTATGGCAAGAAAAGTCATAAAATGAGGCAAAACTCACTTAAAATGTCTCACTTAACAACATAAATTTTAGGCTCAATTCTGGTCATAAGTCGAGGACTACCTGTATGCAAGATGTTAAGAATCTAAAGAAATGGTTAGGGTTAAAAATAATTAAAATATTAAAAATAATTTTAATAATTTTTAGTATCTGTCTTGTTTTTACTAATCATAAAAACAAAACAGATACTAAAATATAAATAAAAACATAATTTTTTGTTACACTACTGTTATTGTTACATGTTGACATGTCTGTTGTAAACAGAAGTATTAACGTGTAACAATAATAGTAAACTTAATTTTATTTATTTATGTATGTATTTATTTATTTTAGTATTTGTTTTGTTTTTATGAATAAATAGCATTTTATTGTCAGGCAGGGCATATACCATTTAGGAAAAAGCAAAGAAAAAACAAACAAGTATCAACATGTAACAATAATAGTAGTGTAACAAAATAATTTTAACTAAATTTCTTTTTGTTATTTGGCTTATTTATAATTCTGTTAATTATATCAACATGTTGTTATAGTTATCAACCTTCTTTGTATTTAATTCATACATAGCAATGATTGTCTTCACCTAATTTCTACCTCTTATCTCTATCTATCCATTTCTGCACATTGTAATATTTTTAAATTTTCATTTTCATCTATAGGGATCTCTTCGTTTTTCTACTGTTGTGCAAACATAATTCTAGCTACTGTTAACACATGTAAAATTAAATATGTATTGTATTCCCTTTATTTATATGGGTACCTACAAAAATATTTCTGGTTTTAAAATTTAAATGTACATGTTGCTTTACCATTTTTTCTAACCTTGACACTACATACTCTTGAATAGCTACTTGAGTTGAATACTAGCAGAGCCCAATACTGAACCTAATTCATATATTCCAGTTTTTTAAAATTGAGGAATAAATTTCAGAAAAAGAATTCAGTATTGCTCTGTAAATGTGCCTATGAATTTCATTCTTAATCTAATTTCTTAGATGATTTTGTACTATATCTTTTTTGTGTACTATATAGATCTGCATAAGGCTGTAAAAAGCTTCAATATTTTTTTTAAGATGCAAAGTCTAAAAAGCTTAGGTGATTAAACACGGCTTCCCCTGGCTTCTCTCTCTCTGCTATAGAGAGAGCATTCCATTAGGGACTGTTGGTCCAGGTAAGTAGTCTTGGTTAGGAAAGATTTTTGTGCCACTACTGGCACAAAATAACAAACCCCCTTAGTTTGTTAATTGTATTTCCATTTTAAGTGTTTATTTTTCAATTAATTAATTGTAGTGATGAAAATACAAGGCATTCTTTGATATTCACAGTGTAACATCTTTTTTATAGACTGTCATTTTCAAATCCACTTTCTGCTCCGTCTCAGACTTGTCTGGTGAAACTTGTTCATCTTCCATAACATCTTTTAAACACTAACTGGCTATAGTGTCAGAGACTCTTAAAATTAACTGAATATTATGGATCACTGCTCCTCAGCCACTTTCTTTGCTTGCCACTGCCTTCACCACTCAACTTACAACAACAATCGAGTCGAAACCACTACATTGTTGATTTGTTTTGCAGTACCTTACCAAGATGATGTAAATAAGTACCTTTGCAGTACCTTACCAGGATAATATAAATGATGCAAATGAATTTGGCTGCTTTTTCAGTAATTTAATAGCCCGGTTCTGCTGGTTCCAGCATCTTAAGGGAAACCTTGAAGTTAAGGTAAAATATGTAATATTTCAAACAATTTTTTCTCTTTCATCATATCTTCATATTTCAAGAGCATGGGCTTCTCCAAATTCACCATCAGTCTTGCTGGCTGCATTTTTGACTGGAAAAGTTTTGTATACAAATGAAAATAATTAGCATGAAATCTTACTAAGCAAACCATTCCAAATACCAATTTTAGTAGCTGTGAATGAATGAATGAATGAATGAAGGAAGGAAGGAAGGAAGGAAGGAAGGAAGGAAGGAAGGAAGGAAGGAAGGAGATAATCCAGGGGTGGGATTCTACCAGTTCAGCCTGGTTCTATAGAACCAGTTGCTACCATTCCTGGTAGTTTGGAGAACCGTTAAATTGGGCCTCTGGCTGGCCCGGCCCCTCTCTGTCCACTTCTCCACTGCCTGCCCGTCAGTCCTTATCATGCATGCAGAACATTACACACATGTGCAACACTGCTGCCTGCTGCCTGCTCTTGCATGCCTGCCAGGGCCAGCCATTACTGTCTGCCTTCCACTGCGGCCCTGCCTTTACTGATCTCCCTGGGTGAGTGAGGCTCTACCTCCC